ATTCAGTGGAATGAACTCAATTTTTGACCTGCGCAGATGAAGCTAATCATTACCAGCCAGGCAGCTTGCCCTTAAAATTGCCAACTGCTACTGGGGTGTGGAACCTGGATGAAGAGGAATTAAAACAGAGAAATCAATACAATGAGTATAAATGAACAACAGACAAGTAGTGAAAGAGCTCAAGCTCTCACAGAAATGGGATCTGGGGGCCAGGGATGGGTTATTCCATCTCCTGATAGTTCTGAAGCGTTCCCAATCTCGTAATTCTATCTATCCTCTGTAACACTGCACTGCGCAGCTCAGGAGTAGAGGTGCACCAATATATCGGTCGCATATTGGGTCAGCAGCAACAAAAGAAAAATCAACATTATCAGCCATCAGCTTTTTTTGGCCTGTGTAGCCAATAACATCACTGATAAATGCTGTGTACATGCACGCAGCCAGGAATGCAACCGGGTAGCTTGGAGAGCAGCACCCGGCTGGTAAGTCATGGTGGAGGAAGGCAAATTGAGGCCCCCACAGTGAGGCAGGAGTGGGGCAGGGGCAGGCGCTGCCCAGCCAGGGTGGTGAATGCAACCCCAGGGCAGGACAGAACCGTGGGCAGCTCGTATGGGAGGGGGGCAGCTCCCCTCCACTGCATGCACCCCCAGGGGAGGCATGTGCCCCCTGGATTTGTGCACAGGGCAAGGGTGGGCTACCTGCTGTGGGCTCAGGGCCAGGGGCAGCGCAAGCCTCTTCTCAGCAGCACTGGGAAGCATGGCTACAGGAGAGGCTAGGGTGAATTCTGGGGTGGCTATAGCCCCCCAAATGCCCCCCCCTACTCAGGGCACTCCACTCTGCTGCCTTTTCCTTGGGAGGCCTGGAATGGCTGTGCGTGGGAGAGGCAGCAGAGCAGAGTGCCCCAAGCAAGGGCGATGATAGGGGGAGGCTAAAATTCACTTCAACCCCCCTGTAGCCACCCCTCCCAGCACCACCACTGCCCACCCCACACAGCTAAGCCTGTGCCACCCCTGCCCACCATAGCCCAGCCCCCACCAAGAAGAGGTCAGTACAACTCGTGACCCTGAGCCCACAGACATAGTCCGTCCTTGCCCCACACACAAATCCGGGGGGGAGGGTGCATGCCCCCCATGCCTCCCCCAGGGGTTCACACAGCAGCAGGGAGCCACCCATGGCTCTGTTCTGCTCCCCGCTCTAGGGTCACATTCACTGCCCTGACTGGGCAGCACCTACCCCTGCCCCACTCCCTCCCTCACTGTGGGGACCTCAATCTGTCCGTCCCCCCCCCAAATGTCCCTTACACACTTATCAGCTGGACGCAGCTCTCCAAGTTGCCGGCTGCATTTCTGTAAATCGGTTATTGGATCAGGATCGGCCGATATGGCTGGTTAATAATCAGCTATTGGTATTGGCCAAGAAAATCTTTATCAGTGCATCCCTACTCAGGAGCACCTCTCCCCAGACTTCAAACAGAACTGCAGTGACAGAACTTGTATTTCATGGCTATCAGGCCGCAGATGCACAATCCCCTCCTCTAATCCAGCCTCAGGGGGTTGCAAATTTCACTGTGTTTTAATTGACAATGGAAAAGGACACTGTTACAGCAAGAGAGTGGAAGAAGCCTGCCCAGTCCTGTTATTGGTTTCCAACATAACGACTGCATCGAAGCAGGCTGCACAAATGCCAGTCTGATAAGCATGTTGGGTCAGTAGCACCACACTGGGACACTGCAACCTGCACAACAAGAGCAGCTCAACTGAGATGCAGTGGGTACAAATGACTGCAGCCAGCAGCTCTAAGCCCTGCAGTAGCCCCACAGACAAAGCCAGACAGCAGCTGACTAAGTATAAATGTACTCAAACATGGGCATGCCATAGGTACACATGCCAAAGTGAGCTGCTCCTCTATAACTGAGCTGCAGCTTTTAGCTGCCAAACCACTGCACAGAGAAAGGAGTTCCCTGTTATAGCAGCCTCTATGGCTTTCCAACCAGCACTTACAGGTCTGCTATTTTTAAAATCAGGTTACCTACTTTTTCCACAGTGCTGGACACCAAGGCAGCAGCCTTCTGGATTTGGGCGTAGCAGGCAGCCTGTGCTCGACATCAGAGGGATTCAAAACCCATAGCACAAGAGGAGAAAAAGCTTCAGTGCCTTCCACTTCCTATCCCCTCCCCAGCCCGTACCTCACACCACTCCACTTAGTCTGCTCTCCAGGTCCCAGGGACCACTGCTGGTCCTGCACCATCACTGCCAGCTACAGCCTGGGTTCTGGCAGGTCTGCAGCTGTGCAGCAATCGCCACACCCATGGCTGCTTTCAATCCCAGGGCTCATGTCAAGCTTCTCAAAGGAGACAGTGTTGTACAGATTTCCACCATGCACCCACTATAAAGTATGCTTCAGGCACAGAGTGTCTCAACTCAGGCAGTGGGAAAGCAGAAGTGGCTTGAGGCTAATTGCATTCGCAGTCCAAAATGGCTCAGCACCTTCCTGTTTCTCAGTTCATGCCAGTTCTCATTAACAGGTCTAATAGGAGCAGTGTTCTCCAGCCAAGGGCAAGAAACAAGTCCCCTGTGAGACATAGCGGGCAAGGGCTGCCCTGGTGGCAGCAGGGGCATACTCTCCTCACCTCTCTGGTGTTCCTTCCTCCTGTGGGTTGAGAGTTTTGCCCTTGGTGGAACAAGGGGTCGGTTCTGGAAAAGTATCACCACTACACACAGCAACCTGAGCCGAGGAGCTCCTGCTACCCAGAGGCAATGGTTAACTAAGTGCAGGAGCCTCATGTGGGAAATGAGGATTGGGGAAAAGGCTCTGCAGGTTCTGTGATGAGAAAAGTTGTCTCTGACTTCAAATGGAAGCAGGGAAGGGCTCAGTGACTGCAGCTGGTCTGAGAATGCAGAATTCCTGACTTATTAGGGAAAGGGGATGGTGATGGAACAAAGTCAGCAAGTCCACAGAGTTTCTAGTATCAATGGTTGTAGCAACCCTTCCTCACCTAGAATACCACTAGCAGCCAGATGACAGGCTTCTTCCAGCATGCCAGTTCCCAGCAGCACTTGCACATGCTGTGTGGAAGGTTTGTCTACCTAGATTTTACTTATCAACAATAATTTTCTCTGCCCAATGCTGTACTGCAATGCAATATGTACAGCTGGAGGCTAGAGGCATTGCAAGATATGGGAGTTTGCACTCCCAGAGAGCCAGTGGAGTCCACTGGTGTACAGAAACTTGCTTTTATGCATGTATACATTATCTCTTTTCTGTGGCTCCCACAAGCATCCTATGCTGCATTTAACCAGGCAAGTTCCCCATCTTCCGAATGGCGGATAAGACCCAGAGAGTGCACAGCAAAGCAAGGAAACGAACCCCAATCTTACTCAAATGCCTTAGCCACTAACACTTCTTTCAGGCAGAAGATGGAGAGTCTGTGGAGCTACCATCTGTTGCAGAGATGTAGAGACATAAGCCCCGTGTCCCTCCAGGTCACTAAAAAGCCAAGCTCCCCATATGTGAGCCCCGTGGCACACAGCAGAATGAAGGGCTTTCCTACCTGCTCTTGTCTGCCTGTGTTTGGGCGTTGCAAACCGGTCCCACTGGGCAACAATGATTGCGGAAATGCCAAGGACACAGACAATGGAGAGGTAGATGAGTCGAGGCTGCGGTGAGCAGTAGAATGAATAATATAACCATGGGACAAAACTACCCATGATCAGCAGTGCTATTCCGGAATAATCCAATCTAGAAAGCAGCCACAGAGAGAAAAAGCCACAGGTCAGTTTGGAGGTGCATCCCACTCCTGCATCTTCACCCTCCCACACTCGTGTCCCTCCACCCCCATGTCATAGCAACTTCAAGTGACTTTCCATGTGCAGAGAGATTTCACCATTTCATACATATCTGTAATACAGCTGGGAAAGAGCTGTTCAGATTGTGTGTATGAGTGCAGCTGGGAGGAACTGGAGCAATGCACTGGACATGATTATGTTCACACGCTCAGGAAGCATCTGGTGAGAAGCCTGTGAGAGTAGGTCTGGGAATCCAAATGTGAAGCGTGTATAGATGCGAGTTAAATTCAAATTGTATGCAAAAGATGAAAAGCGATTTCCTGGACTTCAGAAATGTTGAGGTAGGCTATGAACTGAGCAAGTAGAGCAGGGTGTTACAAGAGTTAGTCCTAGTCTGCCTGGGAAGTTCCAATCCAAAGTGATTTAAACCAGTGGTTACCAACATTTTTGTACCAGGACCCATTTGTAAATATCAGTGGCCAGTCCTGACCCAGTGCCCTTCACTCCTGATCCACTGTCCCCTGCCCCCCAGTGTGTGGAGCACAGCATATGTGGGACATAGAGGGCCCCTCACAGGCTTGAACTCTGCCAGCCTGCAAGGGAAAAGCCACACTTTCCCATGTTTTTCTTCTTTAAAGGAGAATCCATTTTTAAAGTTTGTTCATGGCCCTTTTATATATACTTGCAACCCACTTTTGGGTCATGACCTATGGGTTGAGAAATGCTGCTTTAAACCTACATAACCAGAAATCACGTTACCATTAAAAAAAATAGCTATTTCTGGGGTGAGCAGCAGCAGCTGTTTGGGAGCCCATACCCGAAGTACAGGAGAGCCTACTATATAGAAGCAGGCCCAGGGGAGCTACAGCATTCATACAAAGCAGACTGGACAGGATATGACACCAAACCGCACTCAGGCCTGTTAAAGGCCTTGTTCTGTTCACAATATGAACAAGGCCTCATCTGAAAGCCTTGCCAACAGCGCAGTTCTGGTGATAGCTTAATTGTCTCTTGACAGTGCCAGAATACTGCTAATAAAGCTGACAGAGAACCAAGGTTCCCAGTTTACCAGATTTTATTTTTTAATTTGGTTTGGATTGAAACCAATTTTATTTTCAAAACATCCAAAAAGCTGGAAGTTCCCTGGTATTGGGGCCTCTCAGTAACAGAAATTCTTGTGAGCTTCCCTGTGAATGTTGAATTTCATTCAGAAGTTGCTGGGGGATCTCAGGGTCCCCAGGCTCAAGCCCATCTGCCAATCACATCTGACCCCAAACCAGGCATTCTTCACCTTTCTGCACCCCCGCTCCAGGACCAAACACACAAGAGCCCGGTTAAGGGTCCTCTAGAGTCCTGCATTGAATTTGATTCAATTCTGTTGAAACCTAAACATTTTGGCTATCACAGTTTAGGTTCAGTGAACTTGTCATTTTCAACCAAACTTAGCTAGGCTATGCTATGAAAGAACGGCTGCCACACAAGTTAAAAGCATCTGCTACTGAGCACAATTTTGCAGCAGTTACTTCAAACAACTCACTTTGAAAATGTCCGGGAAACCTTCTCCGAATGACAGTAGACAGTGTGGAAAAGCCAGGAGAAGCTGAGGCATAGCACTGCTCCAAGGAAGAACATTCCAAACACCACTTTCTCCTGCAGAGGGGCCATGAAGTACATGTTGGGCCTGAGCATGGTCAGAATCCCCAGGAAGAGGAACAACACAAACCCTGTAGTCAACACATCAAATGGTCAGTCAGCAGCTGGGAGGGGGAAAGCAAGCCAATAGGGACCACTTATGTCTACCCACAGGAGCACATTAAACGTCATATCTGGAAAGTAAGAATAAGCTGCAGAAGTGAGTGGTTGTTTCTAAATTAACCTGGGTAGGGGGGAGTAGGGGCAGCAGGAGTCAGCAACTCTAAACAAGAGAACACAGCACTAGAGAACTGCTCAGAGCAGCAAGTCATTGCAGTCAGGGAGAGCACTACTGGGTCCTGCACCCATTTATGTACACAGGGAAGCTTGCTGTCTGCCAAGGGAATGAAAACAGCAGCATCTGACTCTCCTGAATCTTCCTAAGAGAAGTGCCGATAGGGCAGTAGGGGAGCTGCCGACCTATCAACTAGCATTTTAGAGCAGATGTTCAGGCCATTCTGCTCCTTGGGTGGGGGATATGGGGTCAGGTAAATTCTAAGCTGTCTGCCCCAGAGCAGGGGTGTCAAAGATAAGGCTACAAGCTGCATCTGGCCTGCACAGCCACATCATCCAGCTCATAGTGCTGGCCCTAAATCTCAGCTGACCCACACACCACACAACGCATTCTGGATCAGCCCTATACATAAGGCCCAGGAAAAGTACTGCATGTGGCACCCGATTTAGAACCTGTGATGCACATGGAAACTACCTAGAGCCAGTCCAGGAGTCGCCCTGCATGCCGGATCCAGCGCTGGCAGCATCTTTAGAACCGCGCTGCATGCAGAGCCTGCTCTGGCTGATCCAGGATGTGAGCTTCATGCAGCATGGGTCCTAGAGTGGGTGCCATGTGTGGTGCAGTCCCAGACCAGCCAGAGTGGACACTGGATCTGGCTTGCAAGGGTGTGGGTGCTCATGCCGAGCAGGCATGACATGTGGCTCATCCTGGAACAACCAGAGTGGGCACTGTAGGCGGTGCAGTCCTGGAGCAGGCACCTTGGGTACTGGATCCAGCATGTGGGCCAGGGATTGGTCCTGTGCCACTCATCTGGCCCATGGGGCCAGATTAGTTTGACATCCCTGCCCTACAGACTTGAGTTCCACAAGCCGATAGTGTTGCTAAAGATCACATGTCCTAGAAGGGCAACTGCCACTTGACAATTAGGCTGGTCATTTAGACCACCACCATTCAATCCCTGACAACGATGGACTCTGGCTTTTCCAAGGCATGGCCCCCGGAGGCCTTGAAGAATGGCCTGTAGCATGGAGACCTTCCGGAATGGCTCCCAGGAACTGTCCATCTAAGAGGATGCCAGGCTGCCCCAGATCTTGGATCTGGGTGGCCAGTGGGAAACATGGTCGTTTTGAGATAATTCATTATACCTCGAGCATGCTTCCCTCCCTTGAAAAGAAACTGCTAATTTGACCTTCATTTAAACAGCCTGGGTACACTGATCAGCACCTGCTATTCAGCCAAGTGCAAGACCTGGCCTCTGCCCGAATTCCCTTATTAAGGCCCCTGGTTTCCACAGTCTTTCAGGAAAAGTAGGCACTTCACTGGTTCTGCATACTCCTAACTCCAATAAAACACCGGCTAGGGCAAAAGGGCTGAGAAGAGGCAAGGAATGTAGTGTGGATAGGAACAGTGAAGTAGGAGACTGACACCCAGTCCTCAGCCTCAAGTTAAGACTGAAGTGAGCAACAGCTTGCCTGGCAGGTGAGGTGGCAGTAACAATTATCAGACTACGCCCTTTGAGGGCAGGGTCCCCTCTTCTAGTCTGCCCAGCACTAAACACTGGAGAAGCAATGCTGCCACCTGACCAGGACTCTGGCTGTTCCAGGCTTCTGGTCAAGCAGCTTGTGTCCACCATAGAGAGCTACAGGGGAACATGGAAAAATCTCATCTCTGCCCAAGGGGAAGAGCCCTCTGGTCCTTATCACATTATTAAAAGATAATAGCTAATTGTCATGACAGACAGGGCACTCGCCCACAGGTCACAAACCTGGCTGCAGTGATAGCAACTTAATCCCTAGAGGTGAACCAAGCTATTTCTTCCAGTATCGCCATAGAAGCTAAACCTTTGCTCTGGATGAAGGAGAAGCTGCCTCCACACCCAAAAGATTAGGCCATGAAACCTCTGACCTGTCAAAGTTCATTTTAAAAACAGCCTCTGTGTGAGGCAAAAGTTCAAGGAATCTCATAACCAGGCCAAGATCATGCAACTGTGAGCTTGGTGGGAGGCTCTTAGATAAGTGGAGGACCTAGTAACTCAGTAGCTCCCTTATTTTCAGTGCTTGGGTGAGGATAAAGAGAAAATTCTCCTTCGTTTTCAATGCGACCTGAAACTGCAGTCACCTTCACTGAGATCAGTTAATCCTAGGTGTTCTGCTTGGCAGGCTTACCACAGACTTTGAATATGGAAGGGTCTTCACGTGAATTAATGGGAATCCACCAAAATCAGTTCCCCTTGCAGGCAGAAGTGTTACTGCCTTGTCAGCTCTGCCTCAGGGGTACATATGTAGTGACCAAGTCCAGTGAGCAACCTGACACAACAGACCCCAGGAGCATTTATACGTGTGTTTTGGGGGGAAGAGAAGGAGGTGCTCTAATTAGAGAGGGGCACTTTAATTAGCTCCAAGAGCAGCTCTAATTAAAGTGCTCAGAGCATCACATATATCAGTGTCCCCATGCTAAAAAAATGGCATCCGAGACGCTCTAACTAAAGCTCATATGAGCTTTAGTTAAAGCACCCCCACCGCCATTTTTCAGCATGGGAACACTGATACATATGATGCCGGAGCCTGCTGGAGTGCGGTAATTATCACGCTCCGGCAGACTCGATTAACTGAGTCTGCCCTGACATGTTGTGCGTTGGAGCAGCCTCGCTGCATGTGTTTAGGTGCCTCAGCAGTCCAAAAGTAAAACAGTGGTTTCAGCTCCCTGAGGAACAGGAAGCAACCCCAACCCAAGCGTACACCTGTGCTCCTCAGGCTGAGGCAGTGGCCATAACAAGCTTCCATGGGCTCCCTCTAGTCTCTCATTCAGTAGGACTCTGACAGAGCTGTTTTTGTTCTTTTCAAGGAGTAAAAAGAGGAAGGAGGTTACCACAGTTGAATACATGTGAAAACAGACAGAGCCAGAAGGCCTTGTATGCCCTTAGGGGAGGACCCTCGCTTTTTGACATGGTCCAGGGCAGTGGTATAGGTGGTACCACAAAAATATCCATCATCCCTAGAACTAGTGCTCGCCTTTAGTCACCTAGTAAGTGCGTCCAGATGTTGCCCGTCTCTGTGTGTATTCGAAAGATGCTCTTGAAGCAGGCTCTGAAGGACGGCATGGGGGGTCTGTGTCCATGCAGGAGGTAATCATTATCCTTCAGCCAGTCTGGGAGCACATCATAGGGAATCACCCTCCAGCGCCCTTCCCACACCTGCAATATACCAACCCACACAGGTAGTTATCCAACTGGCAACCTGGGCATGGGGTGGCTGCCCCTCCCTCCAGTAGGCTTAGGACCGCATTCATGGCACTCATCACTGTGGCTTCTTGGCACCTGAAGTTATAAATTACAACCCAAAACCAGCAAGTCCCTTCTCTATGAAGGTAGTGCTGGAATAGCCCTTCTAACTCTTCTCTGGGGATATGGGATTAGCAACAAGTTTAACTGCTGCAAAATTACTTTCCAAAAAACCCAAAGCTGAGCTAAATCAGTGGTGTGGAGAGCACTCCCTACATATCAGTTCTGTGAGATTAGAGGCAATTTATACTCTTAGGATTTGGGCCTTTTACACCATAAGAAGCTATACTACTAGCTGAGGCATGACCTACACAGGAACTGCTAAGAGGAGCACTCTGACATATCAGCAGAAAGAGAACACAAGTTGGAAGTTATTATGGGAGATCACTATGGCCCCATTTCTAGGCAACAGGGCCTTTATAGCGCTGATGGTCACTGCACTAGCTCTTCACAGCTGGAGAGCGGGGCTTCAAAATCCTATTGAGTGACAGTGAATTTCTGGTTAATCCCCAAAAAACATGTGAGCAGAGCAGTTACGTGGAAAGCCAGCACTCTTGCACCCCAGGGTCTATAATTAACGGAGCCTGGATGAGGTAGCCTAGGGACAAGGTATCACACAGCACCTGACCCTTCCAGGCACAGCCAAGCCATCCCAGTTGTACACCCACAGATGGGTGTATAACAGATGGGGCCATCTGCATTCTCCACACTGTATGTGGAGTTAATGCTGGATCTAGGGCATTGGCAGAAACTCCTGCAACAAACTGGAAAAAAACTGCAATCCATAGTTGCCATGATTCACTTCCCACATTACTCACTGTTGACAGCTCTTGGTTCAGGCCACCTGCCTGTGCTAGAGTGGCAGTCCAAGCAGTTGATTTTACAGCCACCCAGATCCATGGCGTTCTCCTAACAGGGAAGATTAGCCACATTGCAGCCCCAGGCCCAGAACCAGCATAATGCCTCAGACTTAGTGGGTGCACAGAACAGTGGCCCAGAGCCCATGACATTGGGCCCTCTCCACTGTCCTCCCAAAGTGGAGCCTTTAGAGTTGCTATGACACAACTATACCTTATATACAAACTCTTCCATCTTTTCCATGGCATGATGAGCCTGTAGAGGCAAAGTTAGCACACGAACTTCTTCCTCCTCTTCTTCTTGGGTCACCGTGCATGGCGGGTCATCAGCCTAAAGGGACAGATGGCATCACAGTGTAACTGAAACCACAGCCCGGACAGGAAGGACTGATAAGGCACAAAGAACTCTGAAGATAGCAGAAGTACTCCAACTATGAGATGTTGGGACTTTCAGACTATACAGAGGTAGCATACCTTCTAAGATACCTTGGGCAAACTGTTACCATCTTAAACATCCCAGGCAGTCTAATCCCAGATTTATTTTTACTTAAAACAAGGATTACAGTGAAGGATTTTCCTTCTTACAGCCTGAAACAGCCACTCAAGTTTCAAAGGAGGCAAGGCCAGGGAATAGGATTGTCTCCACTGCCTCCCAGCCAGAGCAGAAGTGTTAAAGAATGGAAGCAGCACCTTTTCAATCCTCTTCTACCACAGAGAGACTGTTGTGAACAATCTGCCTTTACAGGCTCTGATTTTTGTTCCCTTCCTTCCCATTATGAACAGGAGTTTACAGAGGATCCCTAGCCTCAAGAACCACAAAGCAGTGAATGAACAAACTTGCTTGTTACAGATTGTGAAGGGCACTCAATTCACTTGCAGGCAGAACTGTCAGCAGGCACACACGATGTATCCTGGCTGACACTATCATGCAAACAGGAGACTGGCAGCCCATAGGCAGCAATCTGCTAGGAACTCTTTGCTCACAGCAGGCTGAAGTCTATACAACAAAATAAGAGTTTCAGGCTAGGCACTCTGAAATCATTTTGATCGCCACAAAGTAGGTGCAAATCACCACCATTTGGATTTCTAAGCATCTAACATCTACTTTGCAGTGGTATAAAACATTCAGAGCCTTAGAGAACACAGTGTATTGTAGGGAACCCACACCACACACCCTTCCAAACTCCATCCTCCAAGCTGCTAATGAGATAATAGGCTAATTTCTGGGTTAATCCACAAGGACAGTGTTGAGAGACTAAGTAACCTGGAATGTATCCAGTTGTAACTCTGCTGAGTGCAGGGGCACATTTCATTAAGATGCTCTGCTCATCTTCAGCAACAGTGGTCAGTTGTGAAGCAAGTTACAGGAAGAAATAGTTGTAGAATGGGTTTGGTGTGCAGACTTCTCATTGCCGCCCAGGCACCAGGGGCCTGGGTACACATTGGTGGACTGTGGCTTACATTGGCTGAACTGGAAGGTCCCTGGTCCCCTTTCTCTTCCAGCAGTGGTCCCAGCTCAGCCAGCTCCAGATGGCCTCTTTCACGGTTACCGTTGGAGAGTCCATTTCCTTGGTTAGTTGCTGATGCTTTCCGGGATGACATCTGGTCAACAAACAAATCCTGATGAACTTCAACCTGCGTAAAGGCTGAGACTTTGCAGCAGGTTACCTCTGCTTCCTTGGAAATTCAAACTAGGAACAAAAGCAATACAAGTAACTTTGCACACCTGTCCTCTTCCAAGTCCCACAGTGCAGTGCAGTCCCTCCCACCCTGGAATGCTGTTAACAATCAACTTGTTACACTGAGTGACCCTGTGCTCCGCCACTGACCAGCTGGCAACCCAGTGCTGAGAACAGTCATCTGTGTTATTGGACAAAGTGCCATATCCTGTTATCATGTGGCAGCCTGAGGTTTGTAAGGTCCAGGCAGCCTGAACAGAATTCGAGGAGTGCAATATGCAATTTGAAGCCCCAACTCAGAATCTTCTTCTCACTGGCCTTAGACTTCTCTGTTGCTTCGCTAACAGAAAGCTCCCAAAGAATTTAACCTCCCAGAGGAAACAAGTCCAAGACAACAGCCAAAACCCTGTGGTCTACAGGGCCACTAGATCTCAAAAGGAGAAAGTCTCAGCAGAAGGATCTCAAAGGGGAAAAGCTTTTAAATCACTGTAATCTTAAAGGAGTACATGAGCAAGGAGGAATTCACAAAGTTTGGATACACCCACAGAGAACTTGCATTCATAAACACAATGGTGAGTGTGTAACCTACACACTGAAGCTTTTACTGGGAATCTAAGGGCCATCTTGGAGCAGCAAAGTGAGAACCCATGCTCTGAAGGGGGGAGGAGACAAAGACTACTTTCTAAGTACGCAAGGAAAACCTGCAGGCAGAAATGTTAAGCAAGAGGGGCACCCCAGACCACACAGTTTAAACAGAAAGTCTCATCATTATGCACTAAGACGACTGCAAGATTAGGGGAGCAAATCCCACAAACCAGCAATTACAACTAGCAATTACAACAGCAAATCCAAGCAAGGGCCCTGGCTCTGCCCTCAGCAGCCTTGGTGACTCCTAGCAAGTCACTTATGGAATAGATAAACAAGTTAGTGACTTACAAGGGAGTGGGACTTATTGTACATCAGCTGCTTCATGGTAACCACCTGAGTGCACGCTCTTACTCTGAAGCAAGTGAAAATTAAATAGCATTACCTTAATCTCCCATTTCATTGAGGGCTAGTTACTGTGATTTAGTTCCTATTTATCACGGGGAAAGCACATGCACATGGGCAGGTAGGCAGCTGATGCATGGTTAAGTCCCTACCTCTTTTTAACTCACTGTAATTTCTTTTTTGTCCACCCTTAATCCCTCAGAGAACATATTTCCTCAAATACTCAGACTGCAAGGTGAGAGGGCTGGCACCACATACAGTGTCTGTGCAGTTGAGAAAAAGCTTGGCTACAGAAATGCTGAGCAAAACTGGATGGTCCAGACACTTTGCCCTTACCAGAGTTACAAGTAGGTGCAGAGTCACATGACACAATTAGCACGGTTTGGCACAACCAGCCCTTTCTGCTCAGCTGAGGCTTCAAAGCAGGGTGCTCAGGACCTAGTGCAGGTTTCCCTCACTTTATGCAGCTTCTGCATGTGCAAATTTGCTCTTATGCAATGACCCTTTCTATACCAAAAATTTGTTATATGCGAGGTAAATTCACTCTTATGCGATCAGTGTGGTGGAAGCCCGCAGTCAGCTGCTTTGTGCAGTGCACTGTGGGAATGACATGCACCAAAATATAGTCTCCTGTGTGGATCTGTGCTCTTCACTCATTGTCTGAGACACGTATTTCTGTAGTTGCCACCCCTGTTATGGTAACATTCACCACCACCCTCTGTTTGTGTGTACTGTCTGCTGTAGGTGAGTATGAAAATTGTCTTGTAAAAGTGGTAAAAATGGTCTGGGGCTCAGTACAGTCGAGGTCTTGGAACATATCCCTTATATCCCCATATTTCTTACATTGTAAAGTGCATCCCCTTTATGAAAATCCAAGTTACGCGCCATTTTCCAGGAACACATGTACAGCATAAAGCGAGGGAAACCTGTACCACTGGTTGAAGCTTGTTGTCCACCACAGGATGCACTCAAAAGAAACTTATCTAACAGTGGTCCAGGTTATGCTTTAGGGATATTCAACCCTCATTCGCACAAGCCACCTTCATGATCTATGCGTGCCTCATATTGCTTTCCTACCCCCATGGGGAAGAAATATTTACCCTCTCCCCCAAAGCCTTAGCTTATTCTTTGTCACCTTTTTGCAGAGGCATAACAGGGCAGCAGTGCATGGAGGCTGTCAGTGCCACATCCACAGCTGTTATTCTTCTAGTCACCCACCCCCAAGTCAGCATCTGGGGATGCTGCCCCAGTCACCCCACCTTAGTTAAGTTACTGTCTTCCAGGAACCTATAAGCTGCTGGTGGCAGCATGTCACTACCTCCACACCACTGTCAAAGCTATCATCATCTTAGAGCTGGTCCTTGCATCAAGCAAAGTCCCTAGAAGCAGACAACATTTCAAAAACCCCAGAATACCCTGGAGAGCAGGTCTGATTCATTACTGATGTATATGGGCATTACTGAAACCAGACAGACCATGCCAGTGGCGATTCTGACCCTACATTTGTTTTTACCCTTTGTGCAGTACTCTGCAGACTAAGAACAGTTGACATGTGACACAGTGTGAAGTCCTGCAAACCCCAGTTAATGTAACCTTGCCCCATAACAACACTCCCATGGTCTGCAGAAGGTAGACGTCCTTTTTTTTTTTTTTTTTTTTTTAAGCCTAAAATATTGAAATGGATCAAAATCCCAAAAGAAGAGAAAGATCAAACCAGTGACAAGAGCCTCCAAGTGCTGCAGTACATGGTGTAAAATGACTGGCTTGCACATTAATTTTACTCATTCCACCAGGGCAAATCATTCATTTACATGGGTGAAAAAGACATTATTATTTTCCCGTCATGGCACAAGCTTGACGAGTTTTTATCGGCTCAAGCACAAAACACTTTCTTTGATAGTTTTGCAATGTAATTGTTGGACAGAGCGAGCAAAAGAACTGCTTTTCTACGAAGCAGGCAGAAATCATATGAAATGTCAAACTAAATAATCAGCTGCAAAGACCCCATGTCAGGCAGCCACCAGCAGATCACTGGACAGCTCTGCTGTAACCTCAACCAGTCGACAGCTCTGAGGATGGGGCAAGCCGCTTCCTGAAAGGCCTGTGGCGAGGGCTGCGGCTCCTAGTCCCACCGCAACCGCACAGGTAAGAAGCGGGGGCAGGCGCCGCGTTTAAAGAAGGGAAGAGCAGGTGCTGCAGAACCTGCCCCTGGCCAGGCCGGGGAAGCTCAACTCTCCCGCTGTGCACTGCGCTCAGAAGCGCCCCTCTTGTTTTCCGACAGCTGCAATGATCCAATTAGAGCAAGCGGAGACTACGGCGGATTAGGGAAAAACAGCAGCTAAATTTACAGCTCTTATAGCCCAAAGCCTGCGAGTGACCTGCTCTTTC